TCGCATTTTACTGTCCTTGTGCTCGAGATGCGGAAACCGAACCGTTTCGAGCAGCCTGCGCACCTTCAAGACCGGGCGCGCAGCTTAAGTGTACGATAAAAAACTGGGCTAACTTGTCACGACGTACATGCTAGGAATTGAATTCACTGCACTGGGTTGGCTACGCATCATAACATTGCTATGAGCTTTCCCTTGACAAACTTTGAACTTTCGGCCCAAGTCCAGATATAACCCTCTACGCAAAAAAGCCGACTCTCGCAATCAAATCTGAGCTTGAGCACTACATTCTTAAACTTACAGACCTACGTTTCCCAGAGGCATCGCACAGAATTGAGGATGTCCCAGTAAGGTAAGATATACAAAGCATGCCCTTGGAAGGATCTCCTCTCCGGCACCTTGAAAGTCAAAAGCTCTGCAGGCTTGACCTCTTAACCTGCAATTCATAAATTTTCACGCGTCATGCAACCATTCACTATTTGGATCCCCTGCCAAGACTAAAACACTCTTTCATGTCGTGGCATTCCCAAAAACCAGCAATTCCTAGATCATCAAACTCTAAACAGGCTCTCAACCCAACTCCCTAGACCCTACACCTCAATTGTAGACCCTGAACTCCCAATCCTTAACCCTGCACCCTGAACTTGGAAACTCTGCAGCCTAAAGCCCTAAACCCTAAACCCCCAACCTCAAACCCCAAACCATGACCCATGACCTTGCGCCTCCTCGTCAGTGAGGAGCGAGTCTGGGCCTGGTGGCGTCTTCGAAGCCTCAGCACCTGACTCACGAACCCTTTAAGGAAAAACCCTCAATGCTTAGGGGTTTGAGGTTTATATAATATAGGGTTTAGACGTTTGAGTTTCGGTGATGTGTAGGGTTTAGGGTTGAAAGCGTGAAGCTAAGATAATGTAGAAGGCAAAGGAAAAAGAATGGAACATGAAAGAAACAAGGCTTCCACGCCCGCATGACGAGAACAAAAGATGACGAATGAAATACTATAGTTCTACAACCAAGGGTCATACAGAAACAATGCTGGCACATATTCAGGCTAAAAGTCTATGGCTTGCGGTGAAGCTTCTAAGCTGTGGTTTCGCGTGCAAGTTCTGGTGGTGTAGGGCTAGGGGAAGGAGTTGGGGTTTGGAGTTTTGAAGGTGTCAGCTTCATAATTCAGGGCTCAAGAGGGCTGAGGCTTCGGGATTGTGGTTAGAGCTCAGCGTTTGGATTTGAGGTCAGAGACAGGATTGTTTAGCTTAAGGGGGAATGTCTGGAGCCTAGACGTAACCTCCACCTACCCAACAAGACATCTGTTAACATTGAAGGTCACATTGAATCATGTGCTCCTGGCTGAGAACTGAAATCCGAACCCTCGTGCTTGATCCCCCAACGCCTATGTCTCCCCAACGTCTGAATTCCAGCTCTGTGAGTGAATTTCTGCCGTTGGAAAATGCTTGGAAAACCTAAAAACCCTGATTTAAGCTGGGGTGATGTTAGTCAACCCTGAGAAAATCAAAATTTGCGCCTTCCTCCGCCTCCTCCTTGCCAGCTGCCTCGTCGGTCTCTGGCACCTTCGAGCATGGCGGGGAACCCACAGACGCCGAAGAACAAGACAGCATCATGACCGTGAATCATGACCCCATAATGAAGAAAAGAAATGACTGTAGTAGAAACAAAATGAGCAATGAGCATACGAATCATGGAATCATAATGTTGTTACGAGAAGATAGGGACAGCAACAACTCGACACGCGTCCCCGTAAGCTATTTACTCCCGAAATCATCTGGTCTGCCGCCCTAAAAGGACACCACAACAAGAAGAAACCACCACTGAACCCCAAACACTAGCCCTTCAACATATAAGAATCCCTAACACAAACTCACCTCCTCGGCCGGCGCTTCGCTCACCGCCCACCTGGGCAGTACTTCTTTGGGGGGGTATCAGGCAGTCATCCTGTAGTTTTATGACCTCAGTAACAGAGAACCAAATGGAAAAGAAAATGGACATTGAGATGGAAATTGGGTTCATCGAGGATGGGGATCAACTAAGTACGTGCTCTCGATGCTTGGAGGTCTATGTGGTGTCCCGTAGGGTTCGAAGCACAGAAGGATTCAAGAGAAAAAAAGGGATGCTTCAGAAAAAAGTTTCGAAGTCCAGAGCAGCCTTGAGTTGGGACTGTCACCAGACCATAAAGGTTCAAAACATGATTACATATGAGTTGGGAGAAGTTAGGGAAATCCTTGAGATTATGGTCGAATGCGCATTGTGATAAAAAGAAAAACACACACACACACACACACACACATTGACCAGAAATTTGAAAATCAAACTGGGAGAAGGTTGAAGGAGTCGAACTTCAGACTCAAAGCAACCGGTAACATCCTGAAGGATCACTCCAAAATTGTAATAGCAGTGTCTGTGAACCTCTCTTAAATCTCTCTCAAAGTTTGTTCTCACATCTCTCAATTTTTGCATGTCGGCGTGACAGGGCCGGTGAAGGTGGGACAAGCAGGCAGGGAGCCGCCAGAAGGCGCTCTCCACAAGAGAGAGAGAGAGAGAGAGAACTTTGAGGGAAAGCATCAAAAAGGAAGAGAAAAATTGGATGAGAAAAGAGAAAATCGGTGGCAAGTAGGACAAAGTTCAAAGAAAATTCAAGAGAAGTTCCCCACAGGAGTAGCAGGAAATTAGACAGCGGCTCTCCCAATCTGCTCTCAGCATTACAACAGCTAATTAGACCACATAAAACCTAAAATCTATCACAAGCCTAGAGTTTAGGAATTGGGCCTGGGTGCCCGCAACTCATGACCTCACCAGATTGCTGAATCTGCCTTCACACAAACTACAAGGGTCGCTTGAATCACGCGGTTCTGGGTACCGGTTAGAAAGACGAGCTGCAGTTCTTCGGGCTTCTTCGGCTTCCGCTGTACCACTGACAGCGTCACGTGCAATCTGCAATCTGCGAACCCTGGACCAAATCTCCAACCCTCAACTAAGCTCAGAGGCTAGCCCCGAACTCTCCTTCTGGCCAGTTCCTGCAGCCAAAAGGACGTGAAGCGAATGCTCCCGACGGGTTGACCATCGGGGCCCATGGCCTCCGCGCACAATCGCCTATGATCTTCTGACTTTCCCCACACTTCTGTGCCGACTTTCAGAAGATCACAAGATGTATCCTCGATGCCGGAGACAAAGAGACGTATGACGTCTGTTCTCAGAAATCTCATCTCAGGGCTGGTAGTACAGAGCTATTTAAGACCCACAAAATCCACAACGGGACCTTGATGGAGGAAGGGGCTTGCGGCTGGATCCCTTCCCACCCAGATTAATCAGGCTGGAAGTCTGGGAGCTGTACTTGTGATCTTGAATTCTAGGCTTGGAGGATTCAACAGCTCTGACCTAGGGCTTAAATTCAGGGAGTTGGCTCTACAGCTTTGCTTTGTGCCGGGTGTCTCGTCGTTCCAGATCTCCAAGAGGCAGAGTTACTGGCGTTGACTTCGAGGCAGGGATATGTCATCATGCAAACTCCTGACGTGAAAATGATTGCCTAGAAAGCCAATAAAGTCTGCAGTTGAAGGCAGCTCATATTAGATTTTGAGGCTTCAAGTAAATTGCTGAAATTCTGAACTCTGAGCTATCGTTTTCCTTGAGACACACATGATGAACTTGGCTGTAGAATTGCAGTTGCAAAGCATGGTCGTGAGCACGAGCTCTACCCACCAAGCCGGGATCTGAGCCAGATCTGGCTTCACGCAGATCCCAATCCTCTACATTAAGCATCTCTCCCCTTGAACTTTGCCTCAAAAAAAACCTGAAATCATGCAAACTCGAAAATTCCTTCATGCATGACGTGCCTGGACTGAAACCTCAATAGACGGCTCCTCGCCCTGAGGTTTCCGCAGGAACGCACATTCAAAAGGATCTCTGGCATGGCACATGGTGCACAGGCGAACTTTATTGCTTGGTTGGCAACATGTTGGTCCCCAGGCGGGGCATGTGGAGAAGACTGTGCTATCAAGAGACCAAGTACGTAGACAATGCGGGGACTTTCTGCGAGGTTTGAACGAATTTGCAAGCCTTGAGCCCTATCACTCCCAATCATCTACAGCTCAATTTTTTTTCTCAATTGAAGCCTCCCTGCAGAAGCAGGCATGAGGCTGGCTTAGGTACAGTATACTGCTCGCACCAGACTTCAGCAAAACTTGTACAGGGATTCTGCGGGCACATGCCCACGAAAGGCCCCTGAATATTGCGAACATCTGGCCGACCTCTGGAAGACCCCACAGTGAGAGGAGAGCCGTTGCAACGACCTGCACGACGATTGTTGTGACAACCAGGGGCTATCTGGGATCCTAGGCTACAGATATTGATCCTCACCCGTTGGATTAAGGCCTTGACCGCCACCTCTCCTTCTGAATATGACATGGCCGTGGTCTCACAAGTCACTGCACCAGACTGCAATGGCCATGGAACGAATATGGGAAGCAATACGGAACAAAGCATGCAAGCGCCGCGGGCGACAATCCATAAAGGCATGGAACTAAGGCATTTCCATCGGTGGCCCCGTACCATGTTCCGCACTAAGCATGGGGGCAGACTGCCTAAACAAGCCCTTCTTCATGAACAAACGCTTCAGCTGGTGTCCTTCGCACATACCCTTGCACCGCGTATTACATATTTACATTAAATGAAGTGCTGAGGGAATGAATGCTGGCCTGAATCCTGCTGGCCGCAAGTACCCGTGGAAATGGGCTGCCCACTAAATTTGTGCTACCGCAAATCTAAAATACAAGGTTGAATCACAAAGCAATAGATGTCCGGGTGCTGATACCAGACTTCCTGATCCACCACGAACTCATATTTATGCAAGATTGCTACTCTGCACGCTCTTCCTACGTGAAGTGGTACATCACACTACGAGCGCTACATGAAGTTTGTAGAAATGCTTCTCAAATTTTAGCGCCACCTGCCCAGCATAAATGCTGCAATGCACGAGAAAAGAATCTCAAGGAGGATCATGCGCACATCTTGTTGAGAAGCCCCACGTTCTGGAGTTGTTCATTCAACGAAACTTGCTCCACCCTCACCGCCTCGCCGCCTTCCGTGGAGGCCCGGAGCAGCGCCTCCGAGGCCGCGTCGCCAGGTAGCCGAGCGCTGAGGTCGGGGAGCGGTGCACCTGTTTGGGGCGCAGGGTGAAGGGGGGGGGGGGGCTTGGGTTAGTTATGCATGTAATATATGTGTGTATGTAAACATACATAAAACTGTATGTGTATATTTACAATTGTCCATTTGGCAGGGGCAGCATTAACTTCCTCGTCCCACCATACTTCTGTAATACCTTGACTGCTGACACCAACTTACTGCCGGGAATATCTCATATGGGGATTCTCCCTACCGTAGACCCTAAACCTTAAATATGGGGACTATATGGGGATTTTGATTCCCCTACCAAGAATCTGTAAGCCTCGAAGGCCTGCGGTCCCTGTGGCCTTCGCCGGCTGTGGCCTCCACAGCGGCTGCCGAAGCAAAGGCGCTGAACCCTGGGGGTTGCAAGGCTTGCGACTGGTAGCACGAATGCGTTAGAGGATGATTAAAAACGCACTCGTACAGAAACAGGCTGGAACAGCCTTCTGACAGCATAAAATGAAACAAAGCCGTGTTCATAACACATCGTGTTCATAACAAATTCCAAGCAAAGAGTGCCACCATAACAGTCTAGCTTGTGCAGTGTTTCGTGCCTGTGGAGGAGGCAAAGGCAAAGTTTGTAGCTTCTAAGGTGCTGAGGGTGTTCAAGGCTTACCAGCTAGTATATAGGGTTAAGGACTTCGAAACTGATCATACTGATCTTGAGACGAAGGCATAGCTGCAGCAGGCTTGAAGTCAGGGATTAATCGTGCGGGCCGTGCAAAACCAGGGCAAGCGTTAACGGTGGCAAGGAATCTTCCCCGCATGTTGGGCTTCTGAGATTGTGAGGCATCAAAGGCATTATTTTTTGAATCCAAGCAGCTTTACTTGCACGACTCACGACAACCCACTGAAGACCTGCCCTAGATCTGCGGAAGCTTGTAAACATGAACCCCTTACATCACACCAAGACCAAGTGCCCAACAGCGCCCAAACGTTGCAAGCCAGAGTTCCCAGCAACAACGATCCTCGGCTCCTGAACCCTGAATTCGCAATGCCAGCCATCATAACCCCAAACACTGGTACAGTCGCGGAATGCTGACAGCCCTTTCAACTATGTAGGTCATGCTCAAAATTATGGCCCCCGTTTTGGTTGTAGAATATATACGGCGCCAAAACATTTAAGGGTACCAAAATTGCATCACAACTTTTGAGAACCACCCGTATAACACCTCATCTCTTCATTTAAACTTCGATGGCTCCTTTGTACCGAGGCCTTAGTCTCCTTCAGCTGAATTCCTCCTTCCGCCCCCTCACCTTCATCTCTTCCTCTTCAAGCCTTGAACCCTAAACTCTCGAAATTCTGTACATGTATGGGTGTAGAAGTTTCAACACATCATTTGATATCCCGACATATTAATACTGGCATAACCTTGAACCCTGGGTCTTCGGAATGTACGCCCAGGTTCGGTCGACTGGGGGCGCCGAAGGTTCCCCGGGCTCAGACAAAGAGGCCTCGCTTCAACCAAGGAGGCTGGCTGGGGCTTAGCTAGAGCTGGTAGTTAGTAGGGAATGAAGGAATGGAAGAGAAAATGCAAACTACTGGATTGTCGGACTTCATAGGAGGACTACTGTGGAGTTCCGTTCCTCCATTTCCTACTGACCACCAGCCATTTAGAGGCTGAAGATAATCCTGAAGCAGCACCATCCGTCAAGAAAACGTGCGAGTCCATCAAGTGAGGCAGTGATACAGCATCAGAAGCACCAGCTGCACGCTGTCATCATGGTAGCAGCCAGCATCATGAGCATCAGCTGAGATCATTTGGTGACAGCGGCAGTACGGCTAGACGGTGCCTCCCTCTTAAAACACACATCTGACTTTGTAACCGAAGCTCAGCTACCCTGCAACTGCTCTAAAGCGAAACCCACCAGGCCATAAACCCAGAATTTTTTTGCTGAGCTCTAAACTCTGAACCCTGCGCTCCAAAGTGCGCAGCTCAAACAAAACCAGTTTGGAACCATCTTAGCCAGTAAAGTCTCACACGTTGAGTCGCTCCCCAAAAACATCCTAAATGCAATGTCTTCCCCGGCCTCCAGGAACATCAGCTCCCATGTGAGCTGCAGGCCTCCGCAGCACTCATGCATGGCCCTACAGTGAAGGCCCCTGGCATGTAGCGAACGATGCGTAGAGAGGTACGATGGGGCCATGTGAAGGGGATAGAACTGCCTTGGGTGGTGTCTCACTCTCCTGTCCCCTATCAATTCTAAGAGCCGGCCCTCATACTAAGGCGGCTAGCAGCCTGGCTAGTGTGCGTGCGGTAGCCCCCAGTGATAGCAGGTCACGCAGCTCCTCCACACTTTGAAGTTCCTAAATCCGAAACCCGAGTCCAAAGCGGGCCCTTAATCCTATGAACCTGAAACCAAGCCCCTTAGCCTCTCAACCCCCAACATCTGCTGCCAAGGGGCCCTCCTGCGCGAAGAGCGAGGGCGCCTCGTGCAGCCGGGCGCTGAGTTTTAGCGACCTGCTGCCGAAAAGGACTGGCAAAGGCTTAGGGCTGTGGGCCCCGGGTTTGGAGTTTGGGGTTTGGGGAGTGTAGGGCTTGTGGACTTACATATCATGGGCAAGAATAGCAACAACAGCAATTGCAAAAAACAACGCAAGAAGCAATGGTAAGGATAGGGACAGTACTGTAGCAATGGTAACAATATCATCGCCAAAGTACCAGTGGTAAGAATAGTCGAAACAACAAAGATGCCGTAGCAACAGCAGGGAAAGAAATTATCTTGACAGAAAGCCTGGCTGAACATTTTGGTAATTGATTCTCACCGCCTATACAACGATTAGCAGAGGAGTCAAAAGAAAAATTGTAACATGCGTACGTACAATACGCTGTCCGTCTCGTGAGGCGGCCTAGTACGCATGAAAGCTTCCCATGCAAAAAGTCAAACGGGCAGTTCCACGAATTGGGGAGATCCCTTTGGACAGGTCCTTATACTGAGGCTTAAAGTTTTGGGGGGCGTACGTTAGGGGGACCCGTTCGGGTTGAAGGTTTTCTAGGCTGAGGTCTCAAGGTTCTAGTGCTTGGATGAGCGCTGTCGGGGTCCGTGTGATCACATGTACCTCCATATACTATGAGCCTTCAGACCCTGAAATTGACAGGCAATCGAGATGTCTGACCCAAACGGCTGAAAGACTGAAAGACTAGGACCCAAATAAACTTGGGGCTTCTACAAATGATTGGCACGCAAACTTGAATTGCCCAGCATGGTCCAACAGGAGACCCTAGTAATCAGAAACGCAATCTCTGCACAGGTGCCGCAAAGTAGAGCCAGGTTCAGCTTGAACAATCGGAGTTCGCACATTATCGAAACAGCAACTTCAAGTTGCAATCCTCTCGCTAATTTTGACATTAGTCCTCCTACTCCTTTCGCTGCTGCTGCTTCGCAACCATCTTTTACCGTTGCTTTTGGTGTTCGCATAATCAGGATTACCATCATGATTACCACTGCTGTATCACGACTTTTCCCTGCAACTTCTTGCACTGCCCTGTCTAAACTCCGAGTATGCCCCTTAGTATTCCTTATAATAATCCCCTACATACGCCTTTTATAACCCCCTTTAAGCTATAGCTTAGAAGGGGGCCTGCCAGCACGGCGGAGACGGCGCCAGAGGGTGTGCCGCACCTTGGCTTGTGAAAGAAATAGAAGGGTTGGGCCTCAAGAATGCCTTAATTATAGCAAAACCAGACCCCTAAACCACGGCTTAAGACAGTTACCGTAAACTCTTCAATTTTAAGCACTCAACTTACCCCCAACCTCCAAAATCTATACCGTGAACTGAAACGCTGAACCCTGTATGCCTGTTTGAGCGCAGGCACAGCTTGCAACACGCTACCCTCAGTTTGCACCTCAAGCTGGTCGTCCTGGGACGGCTGAGGAGAGAGAGCATTGGAGAGGGCTCAGGTGTATATTAGGGCTATATTGGGGTTGTATGGGGATAATGGAAAAGAAAATGGAAACTACCATAATGTGTAATATAGGCTTTACGCTTAAAGTGTTAGGATGAGGGGATTTGTGGCTCAGAATTCCAGCTTTAAGGCCCTATGGGCTTCATTTTGCAGAGAAGCAGTGGCAGGCAAGAATATCAAAAAAGAAGTGGTGTCCTTTTGGAACCATGATTTCTGGAAACTATTAAGAATTCCTTAGGATTGGATTCCGCTAGAAAGATAAGAGGAAGAAAAGACATTTTGGAATCTGGCTACAGATTGCTGGGCCCGTCGGATTTGAATTGGAACTCTCTGGATTCCAGCTAAGTGCTTGTGAGTGGTTTGCAGGAGTGCTCGAACGCGAGCGAGTCTTCCATGGCTATCAGCTCACAACGACCTACGCCATTTCCAGAACAAGCTCTTACCGCCAGTTTCAAGTGTTACTTATTCTCGGCTATTATCTGCGTTGGATCTTGGGCTTGTTGGGCTATAGCGGCTATTAGCGCGTAAATTGTGCTCAGCAGAACGGGAAGGGCAGCACTCAACCATGGACCCAAACCTTGCACACAGGTGTGGACTCCTGCAGGAGCTCCACCAGAACATCCACCGGAAGCTTGCAGATCAAGCCTGGATCAAAAAAGTTGCTAAGCCCCAAAAAATCATGCCCCAAGAAGGGCACCTTTTGCTGCGTCAAACTTTCAATGGACTTGAGGGGTTTCTGGTTCGCGCAGTGGGAATTCCGAAAAATGGGTCTCTGTGGCTGTGGGATCTATGTAATGGCGGACCATTTTTCCTGTAACTAGCAGCAGTGTGGGTGGCAAATCGCGTTTTACTCTGGGGTCCAAGCTGTACTTCCCAAATTACGTGTGCATATGAGAGCTTGGCAAGGTCGAAACCAAACAAGAAGCTCGTTAGATTTTGCTGACTTTGCTGCTAGTTATTGGCTCGGGACTTACATGTTCAGAGGCTAAGGTTTGAGCAGTTTTCTGCTTGGAGGCTTGCAGCGGTCATTATTCGTCAATCTTGCAAGACGCCACGCCACTGGGCCACTAGGCAGGATAGACGCCAAACCGAGCTGGGAAGCCCCGGAAACCTTGAAAAAGCCAAGCCGCCTAGATGGGGCGGGCTGCTGCACAGCTCTCCGAACCCATTGCGGACAACCTGTCAGGTCGGATAAAACTTTCCGAACCCCTGATCTTCGATGATTCGATGAAAAACATGAACAGAGTTCTGTCTCCAAGTAGGAGGGGGCACAAGGGCGAGCAGAAGCCGTGCTCCTGTCCTGGTTTCTTGAGGGCCACGAACTTTCGAGCTTGGACGCAGCACTGCTGCAAGTTCAAGCCCAAAGACTCTGACATATTTGCAGGCAGATAGATATCGCTCGTCACCTTCAGTCCTGTTGCTAGGTATCCCTGATCTCAAGGAGGTAGGACATGATTCAAGACCAAATTCACGTAGGACAGTTGACCGTAGATGCTGCGGGACAACTCCGGATTGCGATGCCTCATTGTTTGATGCTTCAGACTCCACTAGTTTAAAATGAAGCCAAAGCCTTGGAAGCCTATCACCAGACGGCTCGAACTCAGGGTAAGCATGAAGCTGCCCCGAGTTTGCAAAGCAGTGGTGTTCTAGAGCGTGTAGATCTCGCTCCAGACATTCCGATCCAGATGACATATACACACACAAAAGTATAGGATCTGGATGGAACTAGCATCATGGCACCAAGAAGCAGTTTCTAAGACACCCCAAGTCAAAAAAAAAAAATCCATGCTGGCCATCCGGCAGATGCTAGTTCACCAGATACTGTACCCTCAGCCAAGACCCTGGATGGGGATGTCTCAAACATTAGGCTCTGGAAGTTTTAAGACCGGACTATTGGGATCCACAATCCTCATCACCCGTTCGGCCTCGAGACATCGAGTAGATGCACGTTGGAAGTCCTGCTCCAGCTGGCTTGGAGCCAAGAAAAACAAGGCTCGATCCTCCTCTTCACTATGTGATCTGGGCTTGTCAGTCAGCATGCTCGCTTCCAGTTTGATGCCTACGTGCTTTTGTGATTCTGCTGCCTGTTTGCAATCTCAAAGCCCAAGCAAGCAGATCCTATCGAGGTACGCGATGCCCATGCAACAGCTCTCTCTATAGAACTCCCGACAAACCCCTATGAACAAGTTTCGCGCCATCCATTGTCATCATACCTTGTGAACTAGGTTTGGTTAGGAATTCTGCGCATGGCTTCTCCTCAGAGTTCCCACGTAGCAGCTGGCATACGTAAAGCAGGCTTGCAGCTGTACCTTGGCAGGGTACAGAGGCTACAAGTTTTCAGCTGTGAGTCAAGTCCTAGGGACCCCGGAAACATACCTCTTCAAACTCAACATCAACCCGCCCCCCCCCCCCCTCATAGGCAACAGGTACAATGTCACCAAAACGAACAATCTTCTTTGAATTACCGTGGAGC